ACATTTTATTACTTAAAGAAAAAGTATAACAAACCTAACTTTCTATGCAACAACTGGAAATTGAGAACCTTTTAAAAGCATCACTTATACTTCCTAAGGCTGTATTTTATTACAATAGTCTATCTAATAAATTTCGTTTTACCAAAGGAATACCAGAAACAGCTGAGACAGCAATAACAAAACACATCAGGGCCCTGTCTCAGAAAGTGGGATCAAAACTTTCCAGAGTTTAGAGCAGTTATGGTGATTTTTCAGGATTACTTAGCTAACTGGGCTAGGTAAAGAAGCTCCATAATAAGGAGGTTTAACAAGTGACAGTGTATGAGTGAGATTTGACAGAGAAATAATTCTTTATCCTAAACATTACCTTTATTTAACATTTTAAAAATCAGTGTGTCTGTGTCCTCATGTCTAGGTGTAAACCAGCAGGTGCAAAAAAGACAAAGCACTAATTAAAGATAGAATACAACATTGCAGTTTAATCAGGTGTGGTCCACTTATTTGCTTTTGTTATGACTAATCTTTACCGACCCAATTATATACCCTTCGTTAGCCATGATAAATAAGATGAAGTCAAACCTTGGTTCATGAGGCAAGAGCAAACATGAAGCTGATATTAATATTTTTATGTCCCTCCCTGTGAAATGTACAAGGAATGAAAGATACACGTTTAATAAGTATAAAATATTTTTAAAATAAAATCTATTATCCTTTATTTAGTGAAGGAGGAGGGCCATCGCCAATGCGATGCCATATGCTTCCAGTTAGGCCTAGAAAGCTAAACATGAATAGATATTGCTTGAAATTGAGATGCACCGATCCAACACTTTGATCAGTTATCGGCTCCAATATTGACTAATAAGCTGGATCGGATAATAATCCAGCATCTGGATTTTTATTTATATCATACACAGCAACAAGTTCAACTTCAATTTAATGACTCCATTCATGATTACATCATCACACAGAGCTGCTAGTGGTTTATATGTTATATTTGTTAATTAGTTACCCTTTTAAAAAATTTTTATGTCAAACATGATGCCTTTATTTACATGTTGAAGTATATGGTTAAATCTAGGGCTGCAACTAATGATTATTTTGCAAGTCGATTTGTCTGTCGGTTATTTTTTCAATTAATAATCAGATAGCCAGAGATTCCTTAAAGAAGATTTTTGAAAGAAATGATATCAGGTGAAACTAAGACTTTTCCACTGCAGGAGTTCTGGTTAGATCATACTGATGCACGAAACCACTGTTTTTTTTTTCAACCTAAAAGCAAAAAGGTTTTGGTTTAATAATATTATTTTTTTTTAACACTCATCGTATAATTACTGCTCTAAAGCCGGGCATACACTGTGCGATATTTTCAATCGTTAGTCGCAGCTAGAGCTCACACTGTGTGAGTTCACAGCTCAAGATGTATGCTCTCACACTGCAGCATGACGCTCTGATGCGATCTACCTGCTCACACTGCACGACTTAAAACCCCATCGGACTCAGCTCCGCAGTGATGATGGCGCTACTCAGACTCGTCTATCCAGAAGCCAAACGAGTAGAAGAGGAATATGAAGATCACTAGAGTGAAATGTGCTGCCTTGGCAATTTGTGCAATTTTGTGTCCTGAAAGCCCAAAAAAGAAAAGGCGGTGACGTATTTGGACAAAGACATGGCTGAGCAAACGTGGCTACTATAGTCTGTCAATTTTACAGAAAGAACTCCATTTCACCCGCACCCCCGCTCTGCTTCTGTGTTTACATCTGAGACGAAGAAGAAGAATCGTTGTTTGCGTATGCCCATTGAGCGATTTGCCCACGACGGTCAACTGAAAATCAAATATGTTTGATCGGGAGGTGGTGGTGAGAGGGTGATTGCCCCTTGTTACCCCCTGTACACTACACAACGCACGATCAGGTTGAACGTTGGCCTGATCAAAAAATTCTCACACGACTGGAAAGTCGGCCCGAAAAGGGCAAAAAATTGTATAGTGTACGCCCAGCTTAAGGGGGTCGCTCTGTCAGCATGTTTTACAGTCTCTATACTCCAGTAAACAATTAATCGATTACTAAATAAGTTGATGATTATTTCAATAATCGATTAATCAGGATTAATCTGATCTATTCAGCCTCCTGTTAAATCCATCAACTGTAATATCAGATTGGTATCGACCCATACGCTCAGCCAATGCATTATATTGGATTGGATCAGAAAAAAATTGCATCTCTACTTGAAATCTCTACTTGAAAATGGGAGATACTAATTATTGCCTTCACTGGTAGCTGCAGTTGTCGATTTGTAATAATGAAACGCCTAAAAACTGTGTTTGTGAATGTTGGAAGGTTAATCTAATGACTCTACTTTGTTCTATTCTGATTTCCTTCATAAGATTTTTAAAGGTTGAGGAGAAAAGATATTTTATGAGTGCTTCAAGTCTGGATTCAAACAAACATGGCAGGTTAGGAAATTCTTCTCTCTACCAAAGGAGAAGGGCAACAGTTGAAATAAATGATGATCCATCTGATGAACTTCTGGCAGCTTGCCTTCAGCTTAAAAATTAAAAGCCAGACAAATAACTTTTCACTTTTGTGTCATATGAGCAATATGTGGCTGGAATTGTTTAAGATTCATTACTGATTCTGTCTAAAAATCTGTATAAAAAATACATCTCATGGTATGGAGCGTAATGAGGATGTGCTTGCCAACATCTACAGGTATCTGTAATAAAGAAATCTTCATTTATGACACTTTTCAGAAAAGATCTCAATTCAAATGAGCAACAGATTTAGGATAACTTCAGGAAATCATAGAGTATTAATCTGTCTCAGGATTACGGCTGTCTGGCCTTCTGAAATCTAAAATTCTGGGTATGCAGGATTTTCAGGAGTTCTGATTCATCCCATTTTCTCAGACCGGGGCCTGATGGTAGTAGACACAAGCAAAACGTTGAATATCAACATCAACACAATGATATGTACTGATCTATAGAGAACATTTCCTCCTCTTATCATAGTTTCCTCCTGATGTCTGTTACTGTAGAGACCTACAGGGACAGACTTCACAGCTGAAAAGATGATGCATCACTCAAATACTGTATTAGACCGTCCTTAGCTTGGTTTCAATTATTTTTCCCTCAGTATATGCTTCTGTAATACTAGCTTTTTGTAGCACAGCTTTTCTCAAATTTTTTTGAAGACAGGCTGCAAATTGTAGTGAACAATCATGTTTCATGGTGTGTTCAGACTGTTCAGACTTTGTCAACATTATTTTCTTTATTTTCCATTTTTCTAGTTTCTCCTGCTTTCTAGCATCTTACTTCACAACAGCTAGACCCCGATTAGCTTTCATGATACGAATATACACAAAAGTTCAGATTTTTTTTTTATTCCTGCGAATTTTGCTTCACATACTTTGTTCTGGTTTCACTATATCTACCAAAAATGTGACCTCTGCCTCACTAGAATAATGACCTTTGCCTCTATCTCAAAATGTTCCAAATATCTGAGCCACCCGCTACATACTGTAGCGGTAACGCATAACTCCAAGCACAATATTCGCACCTTAAGATCATTCACTGCTTGGTTTTTAATTATACAGTTATGTGTATTTATTATACGTATAACTGTTTTCCAATTTCTCCAATTTTTTAAAGACAGACTACAGATTATAAAAAAAAAAAAAAAAAGATGTTTTAGACTCATGGCAATTTGTAAATTACCTTATTGGTGTAAAAATGCAGTATAACTTAAAGATGCACTTATATGGTATGTACTGAGCTGCTCTGATTTAAATTTTCTCCAAGGATTAGCTGCTGGTTACTCTTTTGTCAGATTTTTTCTCAAAGGTTCATGAACCACAAAAGAAAAAAAAATTGGCTATAAAAGAAAAAAGAAGTGCTTAATATTTCCCAATAGACGCAATTGGTTTTCAAAGAGATTATTAGATTTTTCCCATAATTTCATCAAAGCTCATATTCCATACAACTTGTATCAGAAGTGTGCTTGAGCATTTATATCTGTTCTTTTTAAATCCTTATGCATTTTATGAACAGGAAGGAGGAAAAACTGTACCAAGCCTATTGATTTCTTCACTCATCATATACAGTATAATTCTGTTATCCTGCTATTTTTCTAAGAAATGCATCAAAAGACATAGATCACACATCTTAGCGTAAAAATCATTTCAGGGAATTACAATTCTGTTGAAGAACATCACTGAAATCTCCATTAGGACAGATGGAAAATTAGCACACAGGGAATCACAAAGTGATGTAAATTAGAGAGATTTAAATATAAGAATGAGGAAAAAAATAAGTATGACGCCATTAAAAATGAGCAGCTTGATAATTATAAATGTAATTATAAATGTTAATATTTATTTTTAGACTGGACTAATTAACCATGTAATTAAGAAAACAACAGCTGGCTCTTGCTTTCATTATTATCTGCATCTTTGTACTTTTGAACAACAGTGTAAAACAAACTTTTGCGTTTGTTATTTGTTTTTTCATGATTAAATATCCCCTACAATCAAACAAAATATCTGAATCGTTATTTTGTCTTAATTCAACCAATGACGTTTCTTCTTACTAGAGATTTATCAATATATTAGCTGGTCCCGTTATTCAGCACTAAGAAAGGCTGATTTTAAAGGCTTATAAAATATAATTTATTAGGCAGGCCTGTCCCAAATGTTTATAAAGTGTTTTCCTTTATGAGAGCATCTTTCCTAATAGATCTGGTCCTGCTGTCAGATATTTGCTGCACTGTTATCTTTATAATGAGGGGTTATGCGAGCCTGTTTATTATAATAAATGTTATTTTAGAAGCCTTGCTGTAAAGTTAAAAACATTTTAACAATAAAAAAGTGTAATAAGCAATAGCCTACGTTTCTAAACCAGCGACACGGTCCCGCTGTCCGTTTGTGACACAATCAAAGCTCCATACATTTATTAACAGTTTGTCAGAAACAGAACATGACAGAACAAACTACATTCTGTTTCTTACCTGCGGCCACCCCGCTGCTTCACGAGCTTCTGGGTTTATTTTCAACGCTGAGAGTTTCTGAGTCACGAGCCCAGTGTTCTGCAGTGGACGGTCTCGTGCAGCAGTGCAGCTCTCCCTGCTCCGCATGAAGACACCGCACGCGCTCAGGCTGGGCACAGAATGGAACTGCAGGCACGAGGCAGCCGCGAGCCGCTCCAATCAACCTGTTGCTTACGTCACCGCATCTCCACGGGTCCATGTAATAATAATTAGCTTTAGATACCTGTATTTGTATTCCCCAGAGCAGCACACCAGAGGCGTAGCCATAAAATGTTTATAAGGGTGGCCAGGCAATAACCAATGTATACTGAGGGGGGGGGGGTTGGAGAAAAAGATGATAGGCACCGGAACCTCAGGGTCAATCTACACTGTTCCAACAGGAACAAGCACAACGTCCATGTTCATAAATAAAGACAACTATAGTTTCCTACAGCCTTTGCTAACAAATAGATCCATATATTTAAACATCCGTTTAGATAAAAGCTATATTTGATCAAAATTCTTTGAGGTTTCAGTACTAGAGCGAACATCTTTTCCATCGTCATTACTTACCTACTTTTATCAATATTATACATTACATTGATATTTATAAGTACTAATATCAACATAAATTGATAATTTAATAGGTTTTTATTAAAATTGTTATTTACTGAAAACTCTTAGATGACTTCCAGAGACACATCATTTTCTCTTTACGGCATATAACGCAAAATCTAGTTCTGAAAAAGCATGAATTCTGTACTAATCATCTCTAATGTTGCTATATTGATGTGCATAATTAACCACAGTGTCTTTGTTGTCAAGTAATTGTTAATATATATTAAAATTAAAATTTTTTGGAATATTCTACTTGAGAGAAAAAAATGGTAGGGGTGGCCACAGGGGTGGCCAATGATTGGTTAAGGGTGGCCATGGCCACCCCTGACCACATCTAGCTCCGCCCCTGCAGCACACCCCTAAAGTTCACGAAGAGATTGTTATGCGAGGTTGAAAATTATTTCACTATTTTATGTTGATTCTGGTTCAAAGGGTAAGGTGTTCCTGTTGATTTTTTGGGGGGTTGTAGAGATGGGACAAACGAATGGGTCCCAAGACTGTATATTGGGTTTTGCCGATGCAAATTAGACTTAATTATTCCAGGTTTAGTGACATGAGGTAAATCCACTTTTGCAAAACTTTTATTCTCCCAAGTCTTTCATTTATCAGTTAGCCAGAGCAACCATGTCCTACTAAATTTCAAACCTTCCTTACTAAAACTGTTTAATGTTATAGAAGCTTAGGTGATTTTTAGCCGTCTCTGTAGCAATGCTGCTATTGGTTTATGCTGCTGGAGAACACGCTTACTTTTCATCACTCCACTACATTCTTTTGTTTTTCGCTTTATAACAGCTATATCTGGCCAAGAGTTTTGTTCAACCCTGACACCTTAAGAAGGTATTAGCTGGGCTGCTGCCAAAACATTATGTTTAACTTTGATACCGGTATATGAAACCAGAGACGGTCCTGCACCAAATTTGCCAAGGGAGACAGCTTGGGTGCATAGGATAAAACAACCAATCATGTCAAAAGTTTCTTGTTTGATGCATTAAGTGAATCAAGGAGCCATTTGCAGACCTAGAAACCTCAGATCCAGCAAATTAAAATGATGAGCCTATCTCAGTATGACTGAAAAGCATAACTTCATTTTTAAATCATCAATAAAATCATAAAGTAAATATAACAAAGTTAAATCTCTCCAAGGAACCTATCCGTAGTGGTTTCTGTTCCTGCACATATCATTTATTTAACATATTTTTGTTGCCATTAGTACAGAGGAGATAAAAGGGGCCAGGACTACTTCTGCAGGGGTACACTCCCCTGTTTCCCCCTGTCTAGAAATGACTGTGGATAAAATACCATGAAGTAGGGGTAGTGCCATTCACTCTGCTTTTGTTTAACATTAAAACATTATCTGAGTGTAATGCTTCTGTATTCTTTGTGTGTCTGCACTGCTGTTCAGGCAAAGCCTGGTTCTGCTATAGATTCCTTCCGGTTAAAGTTGAGGTTTCCTTTCCACTGACAATGCGAAAGCTATAGTCAATAAGTCGATGCAAACCGTTGGGTTTCTTGATCTGGATTTCTTTTAACAATTAGAATAAATTGAAATTCACTTCAAGATTTGATGACTGGATCAATAAGAGTGCATGTTCCTGTCTTTGTGATTGCATTGAAGTCCCTTGAGACAACGTGTTGGTGCCCTTTAAATAAACTGAATCATTACAGTTATATTTCTAATGCATTTAAAAAAAAAAAATCATAATGTTGTGCTTTTATTGTATTCTACTAGGAGAAGATATTATTTATTATCTTCAAAGTGTAACTTCTCCCATGTGAAAACATAACCCTGCTCCAGAAAAATTTGGAAAAATGCCATCTAAGTAGTCGGTGCCAATAGACCCTGAAGAGCAGGGCTAAGTGTGGGTGGGTGGGGGTGTTAGCAGGAGTGTCGTTAGGAATAGACAGTAGTCATTGCCAATAATCAGTTGTGTGCATTTTATTTGTTGTGGCTGGCTACTGTTTTCCATTTTGAATGTATAGACATTGGAATAAATTACCTAATATATAACTACATAAGTTGTTTTATGACTAGTCTCCACATAGTACTGTCTATTGAAGAGCTACTCTACTTCAATTGTTTTTTAGAAATTAAGTGTAATTTAACTTCTTTCTATTTCCATATTAGATGCGTAATGTAATGACACACTCTGTGCATCTTGGAATGAAAACATACTTTAATCACCAACAGAAAACAACAGGCATCATTAGCTGTTTTTGTTGATGATCCATTTGAGTCTGTTATTCATCAGAAGTTGGTGGTGTGCTGCAATAATCAACCCATTAACACGAGGCAGGAGGGGGAGCGACCCCCTGCTGACACGGAGCACAGGACATTTCCAAACACACAGAAGTGTCAAGCTGCATTTGGTGTTACGTAATCACCAGCAGCCCTGTTCTGGTCTGAATTTCAATCACTCTCTGAAACCTTTGCATTTCTAAAACCCTTAGGTAGGCTTTCAGAAGAAAAAAGATCTGCTTCTAAGGGTTTTCTTCACACACTGGTAAAGAAAGATATATCAAATACGAGGAAAAATTTGATATTATGTAGGATAAAAGATCCTGCATATAATGAGAACATTTCTTTAATTAGATGTCTGTAGAGTCATGAATTTATACCAGGCATCAATGAACTCCTCTTTATTTAGGACGTATGCAGCTCAGGAGTGAGATTTTAGGATTTTTGCTAAATGTGTATGTATATTTAGGAATAACAAAAACAACTACTTAATCTTTAGAGGACCAAAAAACTGCAAATATAGCAGAGCAGTATATTTTGGTGGCAGTGATGAAATCTAAAGGATAAGGGAAGAAAGGATCTGTGATAATGCTTCTTTGTGCTGCTAGGTTGCAGCAGTCTGTCAATGAAGGGCTTTACATCATCTTCACCCATTGGGTTGGATACATTGTTCAACATATTATCTTTACCAGATTACCCCTACCATAAACGTTGGCAGGGGTCTCCTGCACTCCATATTTTCCCACCCCTCTAAACAGGTAATGGCCCCTCTAACCATTGTGAAGAATGTCAGTGTTATTACTCAGAATTTCCACTTTAAAGTCACCAAAAATCATCTTTAAACTTTGACCTTAAACCATACAAAAGCAAACAAGTTATTGTTTCCCAAATCCAACTGTGCCAATCTAAGAAAATAAGGTAAATCTTATGTCAAATAAGTCCTGTTATGACATTGGATGTGTGGGCTATAAAAATCAGCAGCAGGTTTTTACAATGAAGATTATTAAGAATCAGTGCCGCAATACTGTATGTGGTTTGGAGGCATCACTGCTTGCAAAATTACTTCTTTTTCTAATTAAGTCTTTGGTACACTGATACAATTCATTTCATTTAGGTATACTAATTTACACATACCTGTGAGACAAGGGAAATCAATTATGCATAATTTTTTCAGGTTATTTAAGATACAAATATTAAGAAAAAGCATTCAGCCTTTCTGTCAGAACTTTGTAGAAGTAACAATAATTACAGTTTCCGCTTCACTTTTCACCATTTTCTCTGTGAAATAGTTTCAGCTAAGATTTTCTGTAGAGTAATAATCAAACTCACTAGATTCTGTTAGATTTAAGTCTAGACTTTAACTAGGCCAATCTAACAGAGGCATATCTAAACAAGTAATTAGGTGACTTTGAAGGGCAACTGGATTGTTTTGATTTTATTGTGCCGTATCAGAGTAAATGAGCTGCATGGACATGAAAAAAAATATTTCCTTCCACTTCACAATGACTTTCATTAAAATGTGAAAGTTTGAGAGGTGTGATTTCTTTTCTTTTTTTTTATGACGAACACACATTTCTGTGGAGAGGAAAGGAAACCTCTGAATAAAAGACAGAACAGCTCAAAGCGAGCCAGTCCCAGCAGACTGGAATTAAACTGGGCAGCTCCCAGGTGTGAAATGGTGTCTGAAGGTTGCAGAAACGTTAGAGTGACAGACTGTAGGTTATAGATCCGCCTACACTGATAACGGTGCTCAAACACAATCTGAATGAGCCTCTTTCTCTGCTGATGTAACTCCTACGCAGAGCGTTGCCAGGGAGATATGGAGCACCTTTAATCATAATGCGTTGAATGTGGTAAATAAAGGCAAAAGGGTCGCTACGGTAACATTATACAGGCAGCTTGCATGAAGGAGAACCCTCCCACCCACAGCCCCGGGATGAATATCTGAATTCAGTGAGAAACACACAAAGCAGCTTTAATCTTCAGCATTGTTATAGTCTCCAATCATCAAATATTAAATGAAGGAACTGGTAAATGAACGGGGAGCAAACCAGCATGGCAACAAAAGCACCCAACAACCTGCAGTGGATGGTCTCTGCATTACACGTTGCTAATGCAATGGCTTTTTGATACTTGTAGAGAACATATCTTGAGTTGGCATTAGCAACCTAACAGAGACAATATCATCCTAAGCAATGACACAGCAGTTATCTAACAGCCATTGGAAAGAATTCGGTATTCAGGTGATTAGCTCA